CAATGATAGGAAAAGAAGTCAATTCAGTTGATTCCGCTGATGAGCGGTTGCAAAAATGAAGAGGTAGTAGGTTTGCTGCCCTTTTTGGGGTTACATTGATNAAAAAAAAGCTGCGGCCGAAAATGCTTAGCCGAGTACTTTTGAGCGCTACTGCATGTTGGATGTTTTTCACTACTACTGTGCGCTGTGCCCTGGGCCCTCCGATGTGAAAAACTGATCATTATGGTAGTGCATCTAAATTCATATCCATTGATTATGAAATTGGACGGAAGTGACGTGATGTCCGGAAGCACTCATTACCACAAACATGGGCCAGGGATGAGATCCCGATTCGCTATTGGCCTAGGTCAACTAAGCGAATTCGTGCACCGGAGCACCACAGCAAGTCAGCATGGGTTACATACGCATTGAAACCTCATTACGATACTGAGTGGAATCGAATACGCCGGTACATGCCAGAAACAAGATGGATTAACAGCATCGGCTACACTTCTAAAGAACTGTGGAGCTTCGACTGAATGCCCTTTAGGTATTCACTAAAAATTTACCCATGGTTGTCATTACCATTACATCCCCGCTTTACATGATCATTTTGGAAATCTACCGAATCGAGAGGGATCTTGTTTGTCTTCCCTAATGTCCGAGTGCGAAATGTCAGGCGGACAGAATTCAAGCTCCGCATAACCTTCGAACAATGAACGCATATCTACACCGGTTTTCCGCTGAATAATCACCCGGTTTTCCGCGTCATGCCGGCTTTATAAAAGCCAATATCCCTTATGTTTTTCCTAGCTTCCCGAATGAAAACAGTTATTATTTTACTGTGTCTGTTGCATATTGGTGAGCTTTTGTTGGTAGATTTACTTCCTAGTTTTTCTTCGTTATGGATACGCTTTTTTGAAATCTCACTCAACAGAAGTCTTCACCAGGTAATCTGTATCGTTTACTATCAGATGTCGAGGCGACAGAGCCCCTTTCTGGTTTGGTGAAAGCGACGAAGACTCCCTGCTGTGTGGACACTATTCTTCCTGCGGTCTGCCGAGCTCTATACAATCGGAACCACATGAAATTTACGAATCAGTGTCGAACCGTAGCTGATTTCAGCTTTATCCAATGCTGCCACTCATGTCATTTTAACGAAGGTCTTTTCACAGCTAAAGGTGAGTCAAACACAACTTGGCGCTCTCTACACTATCTATTCTAAGCATAAAATACCTCGTCCCTCTTGTCAGCGAGAGAACATAAAAGAGGCTCGTGTAAGGGGAGGGGGAGGGGGGTCCTCGTACCGTATAAGCTTTGGATTTGTCACTTGATGCGAAATTCAACAACATCACCTGACAATCACCGCAGCTCCGACTTGTTCCTCTGCCTCATCCTATCAACTACAAGCTTCCAATTCGACATTGACACACCTACTGGAAGCTCTACCGTTGATGAGATGTCCGTCTGTGGACAATTTATCATTACTTTAATTCTCAATTTAATTGCGTTATCTTCGTGGCTCTTTGGCGCAAACTCCGTAGCAATAGCTTCATCGCCATGAATGCCCAGGCCTATTGCTCTAGACATATGGACTCCTTGAATGCAAGCTAAATCGCTGCTACTACCCAGAACTTAACATACTTCATTAAGTACGATTCCATTTGAACTAATCAGTTCATTTCAGGTCAACCGGTGACTAGCAATCTTTACCTGAGAGATGCTGAAGAGCTTCTGTTGAATGACGATACTTCGAAGTGTTTCGACAGGCATGGAAGCGCATTCTGCGAAGCATTCGCCTCCAGACAGGGCGCATTCAGCCGCAGTGGATTTACGTGCCAACACTCTGCCCTCGCCTTCAGAATATGCCGGAAAACATGCGGATACTGCACAGGGCAACTATTTAGCACTAAAGATAGAATATGTAATGACCTGCCTTCATGATGCCATTATAATGACCCATTTCAGAAGTGTTAAAGCGACAGTGCCGTATGATGCTGTTGCCGCCTCGGATCCGAAGAAGTGTGCTCGACTCTTCTGAAGGCGAGATGAAAAAAGAGCAATGGAACTATGGGCAGTGCTTCGATCTCTTCTTGTCTATCTACGGCTTCTGCCCTCAATTTTAACCTGCCCGTTACCAACAGATATATGACCAAAAATAATGCTCATAATAACTGCATACGAAAGGCTTTGTAAGTGTGTAGACCATGACCAGCATTCTCTCAATTTCGGTATAGCCTCCGACACGGCGCGTGCTTGCTTCAGCCTTTCCAGGACTTGTAACTTCATTAGGCTAACGTTTCGGCAGTTTCGCCTTCGCGACTTCGAAGGTGCCTGCCATCCTGATTTGCTAATATTTTATTTTGGGGCCGTTGAAGGGACAGGGATTGGAATTTATGAAATAAGGGGGAGTCTCTACCTCGATTCAGATTCATTGTCCGTGGACATTACCCACCTGCCTTTCTTTCTCCCACTTTGCTTTCTTGGTAGGTCATCGGTGATTTGTGGTGTCTAGTGTCCTGTACAATTTATATTTTTTCATGTACACTAATTTATATTTGCCTTTGTTCATGCAAAAATTATTATTTCAAAATCGATCTTCACATCATGTTGTATGTCACTCGGAATCGAAATGCTCGATTGTTTTGCGAGTTGCATGTTGCTCTTAATCATTCGTTACAGTTTTGATTGCCTTACGCTAAATAAGAGAGCAGTAAGCACAAAACAGTACAATGATAGGAAAAGAAGTCAATTCAGTTGATTCCGCTGATGAGCGGT